AATTAGAGGCTTTGAGTGACAAATATCTATCTTTCTGATCTTTTCGACTGCTGGAGACATCCGTCAGTTCCCTGTTTTCTTCACTTTAAATAAGTAAAGCACTCTAAATAATTAACCACTCAATCATCTTCAGTCATCTGATTGACTTTTATTATGTAATATTAGTCTTATTATGTAATATTAGTCTATTAATCTGATTAGACAATGTCTACATTTCACTTCTTGTGTCTCTTTGTTGTCAGTTTGTACAGATTTTAATAACATAAATAGGAATAAATGATAGAGCATTTGCAGTATTTAAAGATTCCTGAAAATGACTAATTACTCTCTGGATTTTCACTTCAGACACATCTTCTCTGAGAATTTAAATGAGGAGTTTGATATTCATCCATTTAATTAATGCATGGCTGGGTTAATTTGGGAAATATTATTTGTGATATTTATATCTGACATATTAATTCGGCATTTTTAAAATTTTTGGTCTGATCTGTTAAAGATACACGCTCACCGGCCACTTTATTAGGTACACCTGTCCAACTGCTCGTTAACACAAATTTCTAATTAGCCAATCACATGGCAGCAACTCAATGCATTTAGACATGGTCAAGACGATCTGCTGCACTTTAAACCAAGCAAAGGGGATTTAAGTGACTTTGGCATGGTTGGTGCCAGACAGGCTGGTCTGAGTATTTCAGAAACTGCTGATCTACTGGGATTTTCACGCACAACCATCTTTAGGGTTTACAGAGAATGGTATGATAGAGTATGACCAGACTGGTTCCAGCGGATAGAAAGGCAACAGTAACTCAAATAAGCCCTCGATACAACCGAGGTGTGCAGAAGAGCATCTCTGAACACACAACACGTCCAACCTTGAGGCGGATGGGCTACAGCAGCAGAAGAGCACACCGGGTGCCGCTCCTGTCAGCTAAGAACAGGAAACTGAGGCTACAATTCACACAGGCTCACTGAAACTGGACAATAGAAGATTGGAGAAACGTTGCTGCTCTGATGAGTCTCCATTTCTGCTGACACATTCGGATGGTGGGCTCACAATTTGGCCTCAACAACATGAAAGCATGGATCCATCCTGCCTTGTTTCAGCGGTTCAGGCTGGTGGTGGTGGTGTAATGGTGTGGGGGAGATTTTCTTGGCACACTTTGGGTCCATTAGTACCAAATGAGCATCATGTCAACACCACAGCCTACCTGAGTATTGCTGCTGACCATGTCCATCCCTTTATGAGCACAGTGTCTCCGTCTTCTGATGGCTACTTCCAGCAGGATAACACACCATGTCATAAAGCTCAATCATCTCAGACTGGTTTCTTGAACATGACGATGAGTTCTCTGTACTCAAATGGCCTGAACAGTCACCAGGTCTCAATCCAATAGGGCACCTTTAGGATGTGGTGGAACGAGAGAATAGCATCATGGATGTGCAGCCGACAAATCTGCAGCAAATGTGATGCTACCATGTCAATACGGAGCGAAATCTCAGGAATATTTCCAGTACCTTGTAAGGTGTACCTAATAAAGTGGCCGGTGAGAGTACATCATAATTATTGTTGATTTTGATAAATTAGAGATTTTAATTTTTTTTTTAAGTGAATAATTGCATAATTTTGGAGCTTTTGGTGCTGCCGCCCTTTCATGTATATATTAGTAGTATTTCAGGATGAACACTTAATAGACTGAAACATCTTGCATTTACTTCATAATTATTATAATATGACAATCAAGCTTTTTTTTAGCAATCTCTCAGTCATTTAAAACTACATAAAGCAGTCCTTTAAAATGAAGCTAAGACATTATTATGATATTTACATTAATGTCAGTATATTTGTTTTAGTTCTGCAGAGATATAAGCATCTGCAGCAAAATATAAGTGAAATAAATTTTCCCCCTCAGCAATTTCACTCCTACACACTTCAATACAATTGTTATCAAATATTATTCTCAATATTATACTTATTTGTGTTGCTTTTCTAAAGTTAATAAATGTAGCTACTTTCTAATGCTCACATGCAAATGCAAAATCTGTAATCCCTGTACTCGTCTTCAAATATTCACATAATAATAACACAATCACATCTTCAATTCCACCTCTTTTGGTGTGAAGTATGATAATTAAATGCTGATTAAATTTCAATGCCTCAGAGATTTCAGTACAATAATCTTATTTTTTTAATGTTTTTATAGTGTTTTATTTAGTATTTTGATCAACTCTACAGATTTCTTTCAGTGAAATGCATTGGGGGTGTGTGTAAAAGACAGCAGCTGCCGTCTGTCGCTCAGCATCTCTCTGATTGGCTGATGACTCATTATGCGGAGGGTCGGAGGTCAGAGGTCCCGGGGCGTCTCCTGACTCCACACTGCATGCCTGCGGTCGCTCTGTCTCAGAGACTCTACACTGAGTGTGTGTGTGTGTGTGTGTGTGTGTATATGTGTAAGAGAAATAAAGAGATTGTGAGAGTATGAAGGTGTGTTTTTGTGTGTGTGCGCGTGTGTGTGTGTGTGTGTGTGTGTGTGTGTGTGTGTGTGTGTGTGTGTGTGTGTATATGTTTAAGAGAAAAAAAGAGATTGTGAGTGTATGAAGGTGTGTTTGTGTGTGTGTGTGTGTGTGTGTGTATGTGTAAGAGAAATAAAGAGATTGTGAGAGTATGAAGGTGTGTTTGTGTGTGTGTGTGTGTGTGTGTGTGTATATGTTTAAGAGAAATAAAGAGATTGTGAGTGTATGAAGGTGTGTATTTTTGTGTGTGTGTGTGTGTGTGTGTGTGTGTGTGTGTGTGTGTGTGTGTGTGTGTGTGTGTGTGTGTGTGTGTGTGTGTGTATGTGTAAGAGAAATAAAGAGATTGTGAGTGTATGAAGGTGTGTGTTTTTTGTGTGTGTGTGTGTGTGTGTGTGTGTGTGAGAGAGAGAGAGAGAGAGAGTGAGAGAGAGAAAGAGAGTGTGTGTGCGTGTGTGTGTCTGAATGCATCCATATGCAGAACAACAAGTGGTCAGAATGGGTGTGTGTCGGTATGTGTGTGTGGCATATGTTGAGGGATTGAGTCACATGTGTGAGTGTGTAACTCAATTCCTGCTGTCTACATAGGGAGCTCACTACAAAGGCAGGATTCTGGCTAGTTTAGACGTCTACAAAGAGCGTAACTCACAGATCACACACACGCTGAAATACCCTTAAAAGGACAGACAGTTTTGGAAATTTGAGACCGTCTTTGATGCCCACGCATGCTGTCTAGGTAGGGAACGTAGTAGGTTTTGAGATGGAGCCTGTGTGTGTGCTGCTTCAGAAAAGCTAAAAATATAAAACAGCCCACTGATGAGTCACGCTGAACACAGATTCTGACTCAAACCCAAGGAAAATAGACGGTCTGGAGCAGTAAAGTAAACAGAGTGAAGAGAAACACAGAGATAAACAGAGAGATGAAGAAGGAGAGAGCATGAGCTGAAAGGAGAGAGGAATAGAGGGAGGACAGAGAGAGCTTTTCTTAGATCTAAATTCAAAAGATAAAAAGAGCGGGAATGCAGAGGCGGAGAGAGAGTTTGTGTGTGTGTGTGTGTGTGTGTGTGTGTGTGTATGCATGGTCATTATTGCCACATAGCAGCACATCTG